CTGTATATATATTCATTTATAATATATTATAAATTTTATGAGACATTATTTTTTTCCTTTAACTTTTTCCTTTAGTATTACAATTACACACACACACACACACACACACACACACACGCGTATATATAAAATCATATATTATTGAAATTATATTACATTATATTATACTTAAATTATACATTAAAAAACATTTCACAATTTTTTCTTAATAAATTAATTGTTTTATTCCACATAATGTAACTTTTTTCCTGTACATATATTTATATGTACATGTATGACAAATACAATTTTACATGGGAGTCATTAAAACTATGGCTTTACTATTTTCTTTAAAAATGACCATATTTGCATGACTAGCATTTAAATTACAGGATACAGTATAATATATATTTACACTATATAATATATAATAAGATTTCATAATTTTCCTTCAAGTTATTCATTATTCTTCTGTATGTATGAAATAGAATTTTACATGGAAGTCATTTTCTCTTACTGTACTTTGTCTTCTTTACAAACATTTCATGTAAACACTGGAAACAGTCACACAACATTTTATTGCTCTCACCACTAGATGGAGCAGTTTCGCCGGGAATTGGGTGCATTTAATGTTCATACAAAGGAAAACGTGCATTACCATAACATTTTTGCACAAACCCATGTATAGATTGTCTTTTAAATGAAAAGTAACCAGCTACCTTCATACGAAGTTCTGCGTTTGCATCTCCAGTCGTCGTGTTCCTCCATCACACTGCATTTGCCTACGCCTTATCCAGCTCAGTGTTTTCCCCAGTGACCTTTCCCACTGACAAAGTGAATGAGGGTCAAAACCAAATGATATCGAATCATCAAACCCTAAACCCCTCATTCATGAACTTTCTGAAGCAGGATTGCATTACACTAGTCAACATTTGAAGTGGATCAAAACCTTTCATCAAAGTTGTCCTAAAACCAAAACAATAACCGTTCTTGTCTTAGGACAACTTTGATTAACTTTTTTGATCCACTTCAAATGTTGACTACTGTAGATCACTTCACATTTGCATTTACACCAGCAAACCGAAACACAAACCACTTTGAGATTCAGTTTAACATTCAGAGGCTCACTGTTATGATAATATGGTGCAACATTACCTACAGCGACACTTCTTTAAATGGACTGTTCTGAGAACAGATAGCCGGATCTAATCCGACTGTAACCTGTAGACAGTGTCCACTTCCACAGCTGGGAACGTCACGAGTCGGTTGGCACAGCTGAGCTCGTTCCAGTGCTGGTTGAAATAATCTCATCCAAGCCTCATTCACTCATACTGGGGAGGCTTGTGGGGGCCAGATTGAAGTGATTTACGCAACAATGTCTCGCCAGTGGTTGGCTGTTGCGGATTTTGTTTAGTCTTAATCTTTGGGCAGATTAACCGACCGAACCAATTGTGTGCCTCCACGGGCCTAATGTGTGGGGAGAACTTGTGAAATCAAAACAGAGTCCCTGCAAACTTCATCTAGACAAGAATATATTGCTCTGGAGGAAGTATAATAAATGTATTTGCTCTTGAATTATTAATTTTTTTCATTTCTGAATACTATGATGGTCAGTTATGCACATGACAGTGACTGACAGGTAAGTGTCATAGAAGTTTACATTAGTATGTATTAAGTGCATTTTTGTTTTTACAGTATTCTGTAGATCTGCAAAATTTAGAGTTTGTAATAGTAGTTAATCAGATATAAACCTACATAAAAAAGCAGATTAAAAAATATATTATATTATGATTAAAAATGGTTTAAAATGTATTAAACTAGTATAATATATATATATATATATATTCATAATAAAAATGGTTTGAAATGTATTAAAATAGTATAAAATAATTATATATATATATTGAAATTAACTATATACATACACAAATATATACATATATTGTATTTTTACTATTTATTTATTATTACATTGATATTGTTATTAATTTTATACGTTTAAATCTTTAAATTAAATATACATATATAATTTATATTTCATATTATTTATATAATATACTTAATTAAAATGTTATTGCAAACTGTTTTATATTATATACTATTTTACATTGATAATTGTTGATTGTTTACATTTTACAAAAAATTGTACAAAATATAATT